TCGGGATGAGCCGTAGCAACGGCTAGGTCGACCCCCGATCCCGCTGGATCGACCATCACCTCAGGGTCAACGGTCACCTCGTTTCCCCCAGTCGCCTCGGGTAGGGTTAAAGGCCCAAAAGCCGCCTTGATCGCCCTCTCCTCTTCGCGCGCCTTCTTCTCGGCGGCCTTCCTTTCCCTCAAAGACATCTTCACTCCTTGCATCTCTGTCAAAAAATTTAGCCGCTGGTCCGAAGAAGATGAAGAAGTAGAACAGGACGCACCGTGAAGAACCCTTAAAGCTTTTTCGATCCTCTCTTAAGAGAAGTGCTTGATCCAGTGACACTTCCGAGCAGCCAACTCCTCGCGTACACTGAAAAGGTCCTCGGGAATATGATCCAAGAAGCTCGGGCCTCGATCTGCAAAAAAGAAAGATCAAGGCGAATTAATCAAGGCAATCAAGTTGTAGTACAAAACAAGCAGAAATCTCGGAAAAACTACCAATCTTTCTCCATTTCCCAATCATTTTCTCAAGGCAGCCCTCGGGAACACAGTCTTCGTCAAGGGCAACGAAGAAAAAATGGTCGGTGTACTTCTCATCCTTGCTCGGGAAGCCACCAATAACCCTTCTCCTCGGGCTAGGAGAGATATAATACCTCTCCATCGCACAGCCCGGAACACGTCGAATCTCCAGCAGATTCCTCAGATGATCAAGGCCGATATTGTTGTACGTCTCGATCCCGCGCACTAGAATCCCGACCAAATGGCGAAGGCCTCGGGTCATAATCTGGGCCAAAGCAAGTTTGTACGACCATAGATACTCGATGATTGGCCTCGGGATTGGAAACCAGAGGAAGCAGAAGTAGAAGAATCCTTTGTACAAGGTAAAGAACCCCTCGGGAGGATCATCGGCTCTCTCATTAGGGGTCGGCAACCGGAGAGTCACCCCTTCGCTGAAGTTAAAACGCGCCTTTAGGTGTCGAAGAGAGTCTGAAGTCGACAGAGTGGAACCGGGAGGATCAGGTTTTTTCACTTTCTTGGCTCGGGTCTTCTTTTTCTGAGCCATGGCACCTTGAATCGCCAGCTGAAGCAGCCTGGCTCCCTCCTCGGGATCATAGGTAACCGTCTCACCCTTCACCTCGGGCAAAAACGGCAGCTCGGGCTCATCCTGCCAATGAGAAACCCCAGCCTCATCAGAAGTCAGAGGACGTGTCCTCCTCCTATTCAAAACTGCTTCGGGGTCGTCGGGTAGATCCTCGTCCCGAGCCATGTCGGCGATTGTATCTTCCTGAGCCACAAACTGGCTCGGAATCTCTTGACTTCCAGATGATGTTTCCGCATCACCACTTGACTCAGATCGATCTGACAAACTGGCCTCGGGCCCATCAGAGCTACTCCAAACCATGTTTCGTTTATGGACCGGAATATTCT